GCCAACTCGTCGGTTGGCTTGTTGGCCAACTCGTCGGTTGGCTTGTTGGCTGGTTCCTCATCTGTCTTGTCTGGTTTCTTGTCTGGCTCCTTGTCTAGCTTCTTGGCTGGCTCTGTGGTACTCCTGTCCTCCGTTACTTGTTTCTCAGGGACCTCTTTCAGGCCCTGCTTGCCAGCAGCATAATCAGCCTTCCTATCTCCGCCAACTCGTCGGTTGGCTTGTTGGCCAACTCGTCGGTTGGCTTGTTGGCTGGTTCCTCATCTGTCTTGTCTGGTTTCTTGTCTGGCTCCTTGTCTAGCTTCTTGGCTGGCTCTGTGGTACTCCTGTCCTCCGTTACTTGTTTCTCAGGGACCTCTTTCAGGCCCTGCTTGCCAGCAGCATAATCAGCCTTCCTATCTCCCTCTGTCCTGCTGGAGGCAGCAAGGCAGCCTGTGGGCTCCTCTCTCCCCGGCTCCCCCTGCAGCAGCCCCTGCTGGGTCTCCTTCACCTTCATCTCTCCCCCATCGTCTGCTCCCTTGCCCGGAGCCATTGACACTCCTTCTTGACCAGTCACATCCTGTTGGTGGGCACAGGGCAGAAGGTGGGTCCCCTTGTTGGCCTCCTCACCTCCTCTGGTGTCGAGGCCAGTAGCTTGTGAGGGGAATGTCGCAGCAGGGCGCTGGCATCTCCTATCCCCTCCTAGGCGACTGTTGGGGAGGGACACAAGGGGGGCACCGGCCATGTGACCTTCCCCCCCATGTGACTCCTCCCTGAGCCACCCCTATCCCCGGGCCCACATACTCTCCCTAACCTTGCCCTTCCCCATCCCTTTTACCTGGTGAGGGAAGGGGGCTGTGTCCTGGGCAGCGTCTCCTCCTCCCCCAGCGCCATCCTTAGGTGCACACAGAATATGGCGCCTCACAGGGCACTCCATTTGGGACACCAGGGGTCCCACAGGTTGTGCTATCCTAGGCAGCTGAGTGCGGTGTATGCTAGGCCCACTGCTGCCAGGATGGGACAGCCAGGTGTGGGTAGCACCGGCTCTGGCAGCCAGTCCCATGTCCCGGAACCCTTGCGGGCTGAGCCCAGCCGCCACGCCCCCGCTCCCTCTTGCTGGGCTTGGAAGCAGGGCCATGCCTCCGGGAGGGGCAACCCCGACAGGGCTGGGGGCTGATGCAGGTGGTAGCCAGGACCCCAGACATGAGGCTGGGTACCAGGGACCACAGAGGTGGCAGCTGGTAATACGGGCACTTCAGCCAGCACCCTGGGCGTGGGGCTGACAGTCAGGAACTCATATGATATGTGGGGGTGCTGCAGCATCCCCCCCCCCAATTCCCAGGCCTCTGCCTTCCTGTCCTGCTCCCGCCCCTACAGCCCTAAGCGCAGCCCCCTCTGCCCTGTGGAGCGGCCGTCTCCTGTTCCCTCACCTATAGGGCACCATGCATGTTAAGGACTCTCCCTCCGCATCCCACTACCTGGGAGTGGGGGAGAGGGACTATCCTGGGTAGCACCTCCTGCTCTCCCAGGCAGCGAGGCTGGAAGAGCAGATGCTCTGGCCTTGCCAGCTGCTGGCTCCTTGCCCCTCTCCCACAAGGCATTGG